AAGTCCTCCACGGCCAGGTCATCCAGGCCGGCGGCTTGCTGGTGGATGGTGCCTCGCAGAACTCGAACCATGAAGAAGAGCTCTTGGCCTCTCACGGCGTTTCCCAGACTATGGCCCCTTTGGGGATTTGTCACACTCAAGTCTGTGGGCCCTGATGAGGATTCAGCCATGGAGCCACACAATGAGCTGACAAATAGTTACCCGCATTTCGCTCCAATCGTAACTTTGGATTTGAAGCGCGCAACAACCCAGTAGTGATGCAAGCCCATACTAAAAAAATGCGTTTGATCTACAGTGTGCCTGGATCAACCCAAATATGATTCATCCAAGAGTGGTAGCCATGTTACCAGGATCCGAATCAGGGCTAGGAACCCCACAGACCTCGCGGTTCAGGGTTGAGCCTTCAAGCCTTCGGGTCTGTGAGCTTTCGGGTGCGGGGGGTCTGGAGGCTTCGCCGAGAAACGCCAAAACGCCGAACCGCGGCCGCACTTCGGCCTTCGGCGGACGTCTCTGCGGTGAGGTGGCGCTCTGCGGCTTCCAGCGCTTGGCCCAGCGCTGGGAGGTGGTCCGCGAGGCGCCCTGCCTCGAAGAGCTCCTGGAGAAAAAGCCATGAAGCGCTGAACGCATAAATGAATATGCATTATACATGGGTCTGTGTTGTCGGTACACATGTAAATAACTAAATATGCAAACAAACAGATGCATCAGTCAAGAAAGCAAAAAACCGAAATCAATTAAACAAACCAACAAGAAACTAGACAAGCACCAACTCTCTCTCTCTCTCTCTCCCCCTCTCTCTCTCTCTCTCTGCGTGAAGAAGTAAATACATTTGTAGATATAGCGCAGCATCCCTCAGGCGATGGTATGGAGTAGCGCAACGCTACGCGGACAGTATATAACCTGGTCCGGCCATCAAAGTTGGGGCGGCTCAAATTTCCCAGGTGCCGCCGGTACTGCTCACGCCGCGCCGCGGATGCCACAAGAAGTCCAACCCCCCCTCCCCAAGGCCCATACTGGAAACACCTAATCATTGAGGAGGAGATAATGTGGTAGCAGTCTTTTCTGGCCCTGGACCTGCTTGTCAACGAGCATCTGATGACCTGGTGGTTAACACTGTTTTTTCTGTGGTAGAAAAAGGGCGCTTGCGCCAATATGTATACCTGATACAAACTGATTTCCTAAAGGCCAATTGTCTGCAAGACGCAGACCGGTAGCCACTTTACATGCGTCGTTTGGGTCGGTTTCGAACATCAAAAAGGTCACTCTATCTGTGGCTCGGATGTCGGATTGTCTGATATCTACACGGTTTGTACAGACTGGGCGCATGTGAAATGGCACGCAAGAGTTGGCATCCAACTAACGCGTTGGCTTGCAAAAGAAAAGGCCTGCTGCGCCAACTCACTCGCTTCAGGAAAAGATGTGCTTGTAGACGATGAAGTTGATATCGCACATGGAACAGTCTCATAAACGATGAAGTCAACACAAAGGGTTTCGTGAGGATGGCGATTGGTCGGTTGTATCGCTGCGCCGTCCGTTGTTGTGAAGTGGGAAATGATCATTGCTTGAGGAAGATCACACGTGTCGGTCTTCACGCTGCTGGTAATAGTAGTTCTTGCTGTAAGTACTCCCTGATGAATATCCTTCGCGCCAGTTCTTTGCTATAGTCCTGCCATCCGTAATAATCGTAACCCTCGTGCCCTTCATTCATTCGCTGACCTTCTTGTTCTCGCACTTGCTCTTGACGCACACCACAAGAGCCCAGTCGCTATCGCCCCCTGCGTTCATGAGCATCTCATGTCTTCCGTGAGTTTTCTGGTCCACTGGGAAGGGTGATCGATGATCATCATCACTGCTACAGGTGCCATCATTCCTGGCGGCGCTGGGGATGCGTAATGATGATGATGGTCACGACTATCTCTTATATACATATATATATATCTCAAAGGCTGGACGCGGCTGCAACTGGACAAAGTACAGTTTTCGTCACAGTCGTCATCAGCTGCCACAGGCGTCACCGGGGACGTTCTTCGTGATGTTCGGCGATGCTGGCAAGAGGATCGTCACGACTGTTGGCGTGTTGTTGGCGACGCGTGGCCGGTCCACCCGACCCCTTCCGCAAGTGGTCGGATTCGTCGGATTTGTAATGCTGGTGAATCAACATGACTGCTGGTGGTCCCGTTGGAGCCGACTGCGGAGATGCAGAGGATGCGTAGATGATTATCATCATGGCTGTTGGTGATGCAGAGGATGCAGGATGATGCTTAGCATCATCACTGACGAGCGCTAGTGAGATTCTCATCATGTCGTCAATATCATCATCATCATCATCCTCGTAGTCATCGCCATCTCTTTCTATATTCAAGACTATACGTTTCAAGTGTGGTGTTAGGCACCATTGGGGATGCAGAGGATGCGTAGTCATGATTATCATGATGACTGCTGGCGATGCTGAGGATGCATGATGATGCTTATCATCACCTCTGATGTTGGGGTTAGCGCTGCGGAGGACACATGATGATGTGTATCATCATCGCTGCGTTAGACCCGATTGGAGATGCAGAGGATGCGTAGCCACGCTTACCGTTATGCCTGTTGGTGATGCAGAGGATGCACGATAATGCTTGTCATCATCACTGATGTTGGGGACGAGTGCTAGTGATGATTCTCATCACATCATCATCACATCACCAACACATCATCATCACATCATCATCATCATTGTAGTCATCACCGTCTCTTTCTATTTCTATACTATACATTTCAAGTGTGGCGTTAGACACCATTGGCAATGCAGAGGATGCGTAGTCATGATTATCATGATGACTGCTGGCGATGCTGAGGATGCGCCATGATGATTATCATCCTATTTGAAGCGCCAAAGATGCGTGGACATGCTTATCATGATGACTGCTGGTGATGCTGAGGGTGCGTCATGATGATCATGATCATTAGCTGAAATGAAATGCAAAAGATGCGTGGACAGCGACTGTGGTTCTCCAGCTTTGGCTCTTCATGGACGCATGCCAAGCGAGAAGTTCAACACGAGAGTTTAACAGCGTTTCCTCGGGAAAAACATGCAGTCAGTCTTGCCCCCGTGCCTTGCGAACTATGCCCTTGAAGCCTGCGTTGATGAACGCGTTGACCCGTTCATCTGTCTTCCGACCACTTCATGAACCTAACGTGAGTGAAGAACATGTAGGCCTCATTGACGCAGACGATGCGGGCGCTGCGAGCAAGCAATCGAACCGTGGGCTTCTCATTGACCGGAATGTCCTTGGTAAGTCTTCCGTCTAGTTTCGGATCAGCTGCCAGATTCGTGCTGCGCATTGCTGACGATCGAAACTTTGCAGTTGTGGCACGCTCACGGACTTCTCTCGCTGTTGACTGGCCTGGAGAAGTGAGCCCAGGATCTTGGTGTATGCCTTGATCTTCTGAAGGTCGGAGCCACTGTTGATCTTCTTGAGTGGTTTCATGGGGGCTTGATTCTTGGCTGCTGTTGTCGGACCTCATCCATAGTCGGAACTTCGGACCTTTCCTCGTAGTAAAAACCTGCCTCTGGGTAGTTCTTCCACGGATTGACATGTGCAAGGGAATCAATCTTGCAGATTGTGAGGTGGCCCTGTAGCGATGATGGTTTCTTATTGATTTCTTCCATGATCGCCGCAGAATCCTCCGAGGTCGTCATGGTCGCGAGGAAACATCTTGACTTCAAGCCTTCAATATTTCCCTAATGTTGGCCTGGTCGTAGAATACGATCTTCGTCTTGACGGACCCGAGGTTCTTTGTGGAGACCTTTTTTATTGTTCTTATTCAGCGGCGTCATTTGCGAATTTCTGAGACTGTACGCTGGTGAATAGTCCATGAACTCACTGATCTTGAGTCCGTACTTCTCAGCATCTTGCTTGGGGAACCTGGGATTGAGAATGTCGGTTGGTTGGAAGATCTGCTGATCTGATGCGGATGCAATGAGGAAGCTATCCTCTGCGATGGCTGCTCCTTCCCCGGCTTTTTTGACAATGATGATTGCATTTCTGCCCGCCGGAATGTGGTGGGGAGCTGCTGCGCGTTGTTCACCGGGGACTACGAAATCATCAATGCACGCCATGTGTGCCTCCCTGACAAAGCTCCTTGTCAGGCCTCAGTCCATCCGTCTTGCAAAGCTCGGAATCATTGGTGGTATGGACCATGAAGTTCTCGAAGGGGGTGACGGCGCTGTTCTTCAATGTGTGCCGGCGCAGGACGTCGGAGCCTGGTTGCTGATCTCAGAACCTTCCTGACGGCCATCGTCGGCGTTATGGGACCTTTTGCTGTTGCCTGGAGTCCAGAAGTCCTCACGCTGATCGCACACAGTGTTCTGGAAATCCTGATAGGCTGGTCGGCCGAGGCTCTCGATGTCGACATATCCAGTGTGTGTCTTGCAAGTGCCCCGGCGGTGCCAGATTACCTGGTCGTTGGCGATGCACATACGTGCCCACACGACGGAAGTACACAAGCCCAGCTCATATCTGGAGCAAGGGCAAGGGAACAATGTCATGGGCAACAGCCGGGCTGGTTCGAACTGATGCAAGATGATGACTGTGGGATGCCGGAGAAGTTGCACATGCGCTCAGCATTGCGATTTGACTTCCTCATGTCGGTCTGATGCTTGTGATATAGCATTGAAAGATATCGACATTGTCTGACCCAATACGCTTCTGCAGGTTGTGCGCATCTGCGGGGTTAAAGGAGTGTCATCCTTCAAGTTCTTGTCAAAGGTGATTTCCTAAAGTTCAATGGTAACATTCTGATGGACATTGAGGCACCAACCGCTGCTTCTCCTCTTCCACTGGATGCGTTGGCCTACGAAAAGGCAATCGTTCTTATCTTCTGAGCCAACTTGGAACTTCGTAGCCGGCCCATGTTTTCTTGTCAAACACATCGTCGCCAACCATAAGAAGATCACCAACATGAAGAGAAAGAGCTCCATGAACTTGTTGATTCTGGGCGTCATTTCCAGAAACATGGTCCATGAGATAATCAGGCCCCCTTTGCGGTTAAATACAATTAACGATTTCTTCTCACTGATCAGCACAAGGAGTCTCACCATAGTATACAGTACGCCTGCTCTTGTCGGCACAAGTCCATAAGACCTGCGTGCCGAGTCTAGGAAATTCCGCAACCCGCAGGCGCTTCTTCATCCGTGCACCAATGTATGGAGAGTGTCCCATTTCAGAAGGTCTGGCACATGATGGCTCTGTTCTGGCCATACGCCTTCGAGCTCCGAGGCGGGCGACCACGACATCGAACCAAGGTGGTCAAACTGAAGGGGCGAGACAGAGCCCGTCCGATCCGAGCAGAATCGCAGAAAACCCCGTCCGTTCGTAGCCTGCAGCACAAACACACGGTGGGAAACCCGCTGCACTTCACCCGCCCGAGCCTGCAACACAATGAAGCGAGACAAGAGGAGACAGAGTTGCAGGAACCCGTCCAAGCTCGACCAGCCGCACATATGAAGGGGGACAGGGGAGGCTTGGAGAGATAATGAGGAGTCAAAGTGGCAGGAACGGAGCCCGTTTATCTTAAAAGAATCAAGAACCCCCACAGTAAACAGTTTGGGTTCAAGCTGAAAATATGCAGGCTCTATGGTCATTTCCTCCTAGCTTCGACCTCTCGGCCTCTCGACTCCTGGGCGCTGGCCTCCAGCTCTGCCAGGGACCGCCGGATCTGCGCCAAATGCCTTCACAAAGCAAAGGCCAGGATAGATCGCCAGGGATGACCTGGCCTCTTGTTTTCCCATTGCCTTTCTAGCAGTTCAAACGTCTCTCAAGATTAACCAAAACGAGCTTCTGAACAACAAACCAAACGCAGAACTGACCAAACACAGCTCTCTGGATGAAGGACCAAACAGCCTTTTTTGAAATGATGTCTTTGTACAAATTAACACCATGATTTCTCTGGCTGCTTTTGGAACACATGCCCGGTAGCTGGGACGTCACGCGTAACTCAGTTCAATAACAGGGCAGCATTGTGACCAGGCACGTTGCTCGTCAACTCGCGGAGCTGCAGTTTACGTTCTTGTCACGCGTCAAGCGCCCAGGCGGCGTCCACTGCAGGGGCAACCCCAGAAAAACCCTTTCGCGGGCAATGAGACACCTGCAACTGGACCGTTCCATTCTTGTTTCAACACTCCTCACATGGTGATGGTTTCCTTGATGGGATCCTTGCAACGGTTGTCCAATACCCTGCTAAGGTGTTGATGACCATCCCTACCAACCCCAAAGTACAAGAATCCTCGGGAGCCTTGCTCGACTGAAGCGGCTGGAGTGGAAGTCACGGCCACGGATGTGACATGTTTGGAAGTAGGCCTAAGCCTTAATCTAGAGATCGTCAACTGAATACAAAACCGACATTGCTCAGCGCATCAACATCAGGGATCTCCCACCAGTTGCAGCAACAAAGACCGACCATTAGAACTTAATTGGACCAGAAAACGCTTGCTGGACGTCAAAGAAAGCAAGCAAGAAAGCAACCCCAAAAGCCTGATGCGATCAACCGCTCTAACCGGGATTTTAAATCAGGTGCTTGGAGGGGCCAGCCGCACGCTCCTGATGAATATGTTTTATATCTTTTGGCACATGGCTGGTCTACCTTCAAAAGCCTTGTGTAGGGCAACCATTAAGATAGGCGAAGAAGGAACCATTTGATCAGACATATCATTCCGGAACAGTTGAAGGGAAGCCAACCGAGTTGCAACTTGGCAACTTGCACCCCAGTTGCTGGCTGGCCGCGGTGAAGGACCTTGGGTGCAGACTCGGTCAAAACATCCATCGGTCAAGCTCATCAAGCCCAAGGGTAAGTCCAATTAGGTGAAAAGAAGCACGAGCCAATGTTCTACCCATGCTCGGTCACTGCTTGGGAACTCGGAGCAACACTGTAGTTTTACGTACCCCGCCATGATCGATGCGATCAACTCTGTCTTGTTGCTCGGCGTGCATTGTTGGCCTTCACAGTACGCGCCACGAAAATCGGGGACCGCCGTTTGGATGTGTTTCAATCTCCGACTGCGCTCTTTCCCAAACATTTCGCGTGTCAACGCCAGGTTGCTAAGCACCGGGCAACATGGACAGCCACATGGCTGCGAGTCTGCTACCCACCGCGCCGAACAAATTGACCATCCAAGCAGGCTTTCAAAGCGCCGAAACCACGAGAAACTCGCTTTGGGCTGCTAAATCAGGTTTGACAATGGGCGTGTTTCTTTGTCTCTCAGCCGGTAGCCTTTAGAGAGCGTGCACTTTCAACAGCCCGTGTTCATAGAGGCATGCGCAGCAGAGTGCGTGATCGAGACACCTCCGATTTTGAAGTGGAATGAGATATCATCGTTGTCCAGAGGCACGAATTGTTTGTTGCGAACCAATGTTGTTCTTTTTGTCTCTGCGATCCAGAAGGCGAATGCCATCTTAAGATGTGGAGGTTGTAACTTCTTCATGGAGATTGTCTAAAAACTCCGGCGGAACCAAATGCAGCCACCCACATGACTGCAAGCATTTGCCTCTGGAAGTGCCATTCCTTGCACCCTTAGATTGACGCACCGCCTGCGATGCCTGCACAAGTGTCAGCTGACCATATGAAACTGCAAGAACTCCTGTGTGGCGAGCTTGCCCCTGGTGAGGAGGCAGGTCACCAGAGGCAGAGAGCGTGTTTGCTGGCATCCACAAATTGTTGGAGTAAAAGATTGGGGTAGCTTTCCGGGAGCACAAGACGCTTTTGACAACGAAGCAAACGGGCTAGTGAGAAACGGAACCTGGACTTTCGATGAGGTAATCTCAGAAGAGGGCCGTTTGGCAAATGAAAAGAACATAGAGCACATCTATATTGCCTCTCTTATGACAACCTTGTCGATCAAACATTGGGAGACGCCGGAGATACGCACACTCAAGGCTCGCATTGTTTTTCGGGGGGACCACATTCCCACCGAGGACAAAAACAAAAGTCACTCCAAGCGGTCATCCGGCGCCAACAATTTAGCGCGCAGCGCTCTTCGGGCGCGCGAAACTTGACAGTCCGACGTAGTAGCCTACACCCAGGCGTATCTTGGGGCCAAGGTACCTACATGGGTCATCTTAGCGTCAAACCCCAGCTGTATGTGAAGTTGGTTGGAAGCCTTTGCGGGCATGCGGAATCGGGGACTCACTGGGACCAAAGGCTGCGAGAAGTCAAGAAAACCTGGGAGGTCAACATGTCGATGAATCTCCATCTTCATTTTTATTCCCTTTGAGGAGGCTTCTTGTAACATGCAATGTTGAGGACATTCTGTGCTCAGAGCTGGCAGGAAACTGAAAAGCATTTGGAGATAGAACCGCCGAACTCAGGTTGACCGCGTGCTGGGCAGACAGCACAAGTTCGCTCGAGCCAATGGGACGACCAAGTCTCGCTCGAAATGCTCGATTTCATCCGAAACGCATGTGCAGTATATGAGGAACTTGCTCAGCGCAAGCTTCCCAGGGCTAGCAACCCCTGCTGCCCCTTACTGCGTACTAGTCAGCGGCAAAAAAGCTTTTTTGGCGTGAGCAATAGGAGCAGTTGGACTTGCATCTTGGTGGAGGAAACCTCCGAGGAGCTTTCAAAGGACTGCAACCGGATCTCTGTGGCAACAAGGTAGCAACTCGTTTTAGGCTTCCTGCTTTTGGTTTAACACGCAGGGGGGCCTCGGGTTCCAGCGGCTTCCAGCTTGCACAAAAGGAAAATCATGTGTGTGGCACCCACGCATTTCTTAAAAACCATTGGGTCAAACACCTGGTCGTTGAATCCTTCGCCAGCCTCGTGGTTCCACAAGGGCAGCCTCGGGCTGCTTTCGCGCGGCCTTGACATCAACCTTCTTTTCCGTGACCATGAATAAGAGCTTGGCCTTCGTCTTCTCCACATTCTTTTGAAGCTTTGTGGTTTGCACGGTTGAAGGTCTCCGTCTCCTCAGGTGACTATTGCGCAGGCTGTCCGCCTCCCAGGTAGTAGAGACCCACATCCAAGTTGCGGCGCTCATAGGTTAAGTCCGTGTCGCAACATGACGCTCTTGCCACGGCCACTGCTACCCTTGCGATCTCTCTCCTCATACATAGAAAGCAAGGCCGTCCTGATCTTGTTGTAGGACAGGCGATTCCGAGTTGCCGCCTTTCCAGCAGCAACCAACCTCGGATCACGTCTAGGACCGCACGTGGAACCAAGGCTTTCTCCAGCAAATCTTTGCCTCTCATCGTTGGAGGATGTGGATGATCCCCGGGCTCTAGGAGTTCCACCTAGCCCTTCCGGGCTCTTCGTCCGGGGCTTCCTCTGCTGCTTCTTTATCAGGTGTCTCGCCCGCAGATTCAAACTGCGTGCAACGCCGATCAGCATGTCGCCGTGCTCCTCCCTGATGAGAAGCGCAGACACCGACTCGTGGGGCTTCTTGTAACAGTTGCTGGCTCAGGGGCAATTCCTCCAAGAACTTGACCAACTTAATAACATCCGCCTCTGAGTTGAACTCCTCTGCGCATCAGGGCCGCCAAGGGCCTATGAGTCGACTGCAGTGCTTCTCCTCCTCCTTCGTGCTGCGCAACGTCCATTTCACCTCCGTAATGAAATGGCTGAAGCTCTCCGCCTTGTGTCCCACGTTGGCTGGTCCCTGATCTTGAGGCTCCGCGCGCCAACGTCTAATGCTTTCGAAGTCGCGCTCATAGCGCGCATGTTTTTCACTCGCGCGCCGGCTTGGCTCAAATGGGCACTGTCATGAACGCTGAAGGTACGTGTCACGCCACGCCTTAGGGGTCATGCTTATAGCAGTGAATGTCCCCGCTATTGCCGGTTTCGGCCGTTGAGATGCAATAGACCCTCCCTTGTGCTTTGAAGCAACATGTTTCATGGTAGAGCCAGCAAGGCTCGCCAAGCCTCACCCGAGCCGAGACGCTCGACCGTTCGAACCCAAATTCGCACAATATTTTACACAAACATCGCTCGAATCGAATTTCCAATCTCCAAGTTTACGAGCCCTGCGACATGTCCGGAGGGTTTTGGGCGCATTTCCGCAGTTCGCTCCGGTCTTTTGAACGCATTTCAAGCACTAAGCGAACTCCAAGAGCTGAAACCAACTGCATCTGCCGGTGAGATGTACCCCTTTGAGCCTCTTGAATCGTTGACTTTGAACAAGGCTTGTTCACACGGCCTGTACCTTGATGCGTCCAATCGCCAACACAATTGGGTGTTCCATCAACTGATCTCATTCAACCTGTTTGGCGGGCGAATGTCCGGAAAATGCCTTTTGGACAAATACCGCTGGGCTAAACATCAAGCTCGCTCCCTGAGACCCGTAGTCCCCCAATACTAGATGATGAGTTCGTGACGAAGCACATTATGGACTCCATTTGGAGGACAGAAGCGGAAAACTTTGGGGCCCTTCTCGACAATGTGCGCGCGCTCCCCGAAAGAGCATGAACGATATTTGTCCATAGCGAGAAGCGGCCAAATACCAACATTGGTTCTGCTTGAATGACCACAACACACTTGCCCCCACATGAACACTTGCATGAAGTAGGTGTGCGCGGGCACGTAATTAAGATATGCTGCCACCTCCTGAGGACTTGCGCCCGTATCTCACCTCCGACGCATACTCCAACCAAGGACACATCGACAAGATTTGGCCACGATGGGGGGGGACATTTCACAGGCACGGAGAAAACATTTCTGGCAATGCCAGTTGAAACTTGCACGCCAGCTGCATCTGCGGATCTGCAGATATGCGGATCGCAAGCCAGGGCAAACAACCTTTGATGTTCATAAATCTATGCTCCGGAACGGTCAAAGTTTGCACTGGCTTCACAAAAAGCGTTCCTTGCATCACTGCCTCACACTCGGTGGCACACAATATGGAACGCACCAAAAATGATCCATTTCAGACGATCTGCCGGCATTGAACAAATTCCATCTTTCATGCCTTTAATGCAACACACACATGCATGAGGTTCTATGTGTGTGTGATGTCTGATTCTTTTTCTCAAGCCGGCGTCGAAGATATGTAGCAAAGCCACATTGATGTCTGCGGATCGTAGCCCTGCACTGAACAAGTCTGACATGTAAAAGATGCGCAGTCGGCGGAGATGATCAGGCAGAGTGTCATAAACCACACGGGGCGCCGGCGGGGGTTGCCGCCGCCGCACCACTTCAACGGAGGGCCAGCATGGGAGGGTGGTGAGGGGTGGGATGGTTAGTGGTTTTGAAAAACTAGCGCCAATGACTCATATCCAAAACAGGCTTGATGATTCCTGACTGCCCTCCTGACATTTAGAACTGAAGGGAGCAACCAGAATGTCTTCTCAGGTTCAGCTGCCAAACAAAAAATGCGAGCTGAACTCAAGGCGTTCTTGGAGGACAACAGGAGTTGAGTGCATCAGCAATCCAACCCGGGGTATGCTTTTGGGACCCCAACAGGGTGGCTTTCCATTTCATTTCCCCGTTGAACCAAGCTGAAAAGGGTCCCTCAAGGAAAAGACCAACCCGCAGCAACACCAACAATAGTTACAAAAATTGGTCAGCACCTTAGCCCGCGCATCCTCTGCTGGGCTACTTACTGGCATGGCACATCCTGCGGTGTGTGTGTGTGTGTCTTCATATGCCAAGCTATGAATGCCAAGTAGATTCAAGTTCGCTCCAGCCAGCTGGGCAGCGCGCTGGTTCCTGAAACGCATGTCGCGCATTGCGGGGCGCCCCTCCCAGCCAGGGAGCTCTGGAATTCAATTGGCCCAGTTTCTGCGCCACACACGCATACATACGTATATAGATCGAAACAAATATGTAAATAAGTAGATCTACATATATACACAAATGAATAAATAGACAAGAAAGCATTTAAAAAATGCTTAGAAAAATAATACACATAAATCGTTTAAAAAAAGGGAGTAATTCAATTAAAAAATACAATACAAATAATCAAAGGAAGTTTAAGAAGAAACTTCCATAGTACTGGAACTAGCTGCTTCGACGCATGGCCATGACGCGTGTTCGTGGCGGCGCGTGCCGCGTTGGGCCGCGCGCTCGCCCACGCGCCGTGTCGGGCCGCGCGCTCGCGCGGACTGCTGCACCGCTGAAGCAGACGAAGAGAAAAGCCTAGCTTTTGCGCTTGACACGCGTGCCGTTTCGGGCCGCGTGCTCCAGCCCAGACTACAGCGCGGCTTGAGCAGACGCA